AGGCTGAGGGCAGCCCTTCCCAACCTGGGCTCTCTAGATGTAAGAAAATTAAAACTCACTCCAATGATCCCTGGCTGGGTATTCTGGCCCTAACCTACCCAGAAAATATCAGCTCAGAGCATTCTGTCTTAAGAGTTGGCCAATTTGAAGGAGGAAGGAAAACGGCAAGCTAGAACAAAAACACTTCTAAGAAATAAGTTTCTTTCTTTAAAGATGTCAGTTATAGTCAAAAACACTCATCTGTTAACGTGCAAACATTTGAATGATAGAAAAGGTGAATTATAGAAGGCAATCTGCACAAACGCAATCATGCAGTCAGGCAAAGAATTGATAGAAGATACTAACAGAACTAAAAGATGCCATGACAGCATTGCACTGGAATCTGTGAATGCTTTCCCATGTTTTCACATGAGCTCTTTTCTCCAGAATTGGTAGCCTTTACTTAATCTAGAAGTGTGGGGAATCCAGAGAATATTAGTGCCATAATATTCCATTCCAAGGCGCTGGCTTCATTATTTCTCTTTCTTAGTGACAGGGCATAAATGTACGAGAATTCATCCCATCTTACAGGGACATTAGCAAAATGGCAGGTTGCCATGCCTGGCCAGCAGCTGCCTCCTGCATTTTTTGACTGCCCATCCACTATTCCTGGCTTTTATTCCATGAAGTCATTTCGAACAAAATTAGAATTTCAGCAACTAGTTGTCAAAGACCGCAAAAAGGAAACCAAGTTCTTTTCCCATCTCAGCTAATAGACAGTGGCACCCTGGTAATTTAATTTTCATGTGTTTATGTTAATTCTTCTAACCTCTGAAGCTACTACTACTAAAGCCAATGAAGCATCTATAAATAAAACAAAGACACAGTATTTTTTGCTTGGAACTATTAAGGTTGGCATACCGGAACCCTACTGGCATTAAGAAACTGTGGAATGAGAATTCTTTCTGATTTCCAAGGTACCATTTTGGAATTTTAAGAGATAAGGCACATAAGGAGACAAGAGGATGAAAGAATGCTGAAATAAATGGTTTTTTTTAAATAGCGCAAATCAACATGACCATCTATAAAGGTACACCTGTCAGGTTGATGGCAGGGACAAAACAGTCGGACAGTACAGGTAGTCTTTGACATACAATCATTCATTTAGCGACTGTTCAAAGTTACAACTCTGCTGGAAAAAAATGATGACCGGTCCTCGCACTTACGAGCATTGCAGCATCCATATAGTAACATGATTGTGAGGCAGTGGCATTGTTTAGGATGGTTGCATGAAAAGTAATAACCATTAAAGTTCTGAATCATCTGGGATCAATCTATTTTCTGGACTATGTTTACCACTAAGCCCTTGCTGAACTTTCAGACTGGTGATGAAATTGTTCTCTGGTGCATCGTACAGTAATGGGCATGAAGGAGAAGGTCTTCTTGAGTTGATTCCACAGCTGGGGAAATGAAAGAACATGGTCACAAATTGCCTGGGAATAAAACAAGGGCTTTTTTCCTTTAAAAAAAAAGATGCTTTGGTTATTATACTTTTGCTAAGGAAACTGCCTTGGACTCTGTTTCTATATTGCTCTGAATAACTCATAAATCCTAACAAACAAGAGAGACAGTTTGTTCCACAGCTCAAGAAAAATAGCATTGGTTTTTCCCAGATGCAGAGTTCATTCACAGCCCTGATCCCAGCAGCCTCAACCAAGAACAGAAATCTCATTGCTTGAAGTTAAGTTTTGAAGTAGGGGTGAGGGAATCTTTTTCTAAATAAACCACTCAACAGGGGAAAAGAAAGATAATTGAGGATCCTCCCAACCATGTCAATTGGGCCAGCTGACTAGAAAATCCTAGGTTTCTTCCCAATACGGTGGTCCAAGCTGACCACTTTCAAAGCTCATTTCTTGTGGAAAGCTGGGTTCAGTAAGTCAAGGAAGATGCGCAGAAAGGTGCATGCTTCTGATGGGTTGCTAGCCGAATTCATGCTTTGAAACACTTAACTTCTTAGGAAAGATGAAGAAGGAATCCCTATGAGGGATGGAATTCAGCAATGGGCCAGATCTGCTCTGCGAGCTTAACCTGGGAGCCTTTGCATTATGGGGCGAGGAAGGGGAACCACAGCCTCAGGCAACACACTTAAGGTCACTGATTGACAGGAGTGGTAGCCCCAAACAGCACAAGAATTTCAAAATAAATACACGAGGTTTGGGAGTTTACCCTATACAGGTAGTCCTTGACTTACAAAAGTTCACTTAGTTACAAAGGCGTTGAAAAAGTGACCTATACCTTTTCACAGTTGCGACCATTCCAGTGTCCCCATGATCTTGTGATCAAAATTCAGATGCTTGGCATGTTTATGACCATCGCTGTGTCCCAAGATCCGGTGATCCCTGTTTGGAACCTTCTGACAAAGCAAAGTCAATGGGGAAGCCAGATTCACTTAACAACTGAGTTACTAACTGATCAAACTGCAGTAATTCACTTAACAAATGTGGCAAGAGAAGTCATAAAATGGGGCAAAATTCACTTAAAAAATGTCTCGCTTTGCAAAAGAAATTTGGGGCTACACCCTGGCCGTAAATTGGAGGACTGCCTATACAACTGCTGCTATTGGACCATTAAAGATCATTGCGAGTAGTCTTTTTCAATCCAGAGTTCTTCAATTGTGCGGGACTCCACCATCCATACACTATTCATGACTAGGTAGATAGACTATGAGGAGATCTGAAGTTTAGCATAGATAAAATATTTTAGATTGAGGCAGTTAGTTTAAAACAAGCCTTTGCCACCAAAACATCAGCAGTGGCCACTCTTCCTTCTACCATCTTTCTGTATCAGGCAAACTGTTTTTATTTAGGAGCATCTTTGCCATTTAAGGTGATTTAGAGCCATTTAAGAGGATTTAATTGTGGTAGGTACAACTGCCTGAACATTGGGCTGTTTCTTTGCATTATTCTCTTCCAAAACAGAAACACCAGTCCAGGAATTTTAAGTTCTTTTGCCCACTGCTCCTCTCTTGATTTTTAAAATTTTAGAAAAAGATTCTTCATGTAAACTTTTATTAGCCCTATTTTCCTGCTGAAGTATGAATCTATGGGCATAGCCAAACAGCCAGCCATCACTTGGTGGCATAGCTCATTTTCAGCTTACTGATAAGGAAGCAAAGTTCATTTACTCCACAGTTACCCATTTTCAGTCTACACCTCGTTCCATGCAATTGAAGTCACTGAGGATGCATCCTCACATTAGCTAGGCAAGGTGCCATAGGTATTTATATTGCTGGTCCTTTTGCCACAGACCAGTACCAGCACACTAGAGCCCAGGGGATGGTGGCAGGATCTATAATTTCTAGGCATAAACCAAAGCCAATAAAAGAGGGACAAGACAAGTAATGGCAGATCCAGTCTCTACTTGCATTAACCAAGATCAAATCTGATCCCTCCCTTTCCCAGAGTGCGCTTCTGTCCACCACAAGCTAGTGGATACTTGCATTTCAGAAGGGCAAAACCACACACACACACACACAAACCCTTTTCAAGGATCCTCCCATGAATTTAATGGCTGGGATCCTCTTAAAGCCGCCTTTGCCACAGCTGTCAGATGAGCTGGGATTGTTACTCAAGGGGGGCTGGGAATATCAACTGGGTGCAGCCCAGGGGCACTAGGTTGAGGAAGGCTGCCCTTATAGGATAGGATAGGTTCTTAACACAGGAGAGGATGATGTGCTATCAAAAAGGAAATAATAATCCCTATCACCCTCATGCAGGCTTGGCAATGAACGTGGTACTCATTTTTTTAAGCAAAAAGGCAAGTATCTCCAAGAATCTACAGTTGCTTAATACTGGAGCTAAATTGAAATAAAACAAATCTCTTATTTAAATCTCTTAAATAAATCTAAATCTCTTTTAAAGAAGAGATTGGACAGCCATTTGTCCCAAATGGTATAGATATAGGGAGTCTCCTACTTGGGCAGGGGGTTGGACTACTAGACGACCTCCAAAGTTCAAATGTTATTCTGTATTCTTTAAATAAGTAATAATGTCCACCCACCCACCTCAGAAACTAAGAGATTCCTCTCTGTCTGTACAAAAAACCCATTGCCTTTAATCTTCTACATCCAGGGGAGATTCCTATTGGGCAAGGGAGGGAGTCCCCAAAAGCAATTATTTCACTCAATTTCAAAATATCAGAACTCAATTTCCCCTTGTTCAGAGCAGAACCTCGACACTGACGCGAAGAGAACCCAGGGGAACCCGAGAAGCTTCTAGTCCTCAAGAAACATGAACTTCGGCGCCGAGTCTGGTCTGAAGGAGTGCCAGTTAGTTCCTTTTCTGAACCCAAAGAAGCATAAATAAAAGACTGGGAAGATAAACCCGAGAACTTTTAAAAGTCCAGTCGCACGATTATTACACCTTTAAAAAAAAAAAAAAACATAGGCGGTAATTCCTCATGTGGCTCGTCGTAAAACCGTTGCGATTCACGTTTCTTTTATTAGGTATAAAATAAAATCAGAGAAATATAACTGGGGGGGCGGTAGGGTTTGGAGCGAGGGTACCCTGAGAGTTGGAATACAACAGCCCAGCCCACCGTATTTTACCTCAGCAATGCAAACCCCAATTCCCTATTATTCAGTAGCAAATCCCCAATCCGGCTGCGTTCACTGGGGGTCTTCCTTTCGAGTAAAAGCGCTCTTTATTCCAAGCTGGAGCCATTTCCTCACTAGCAACCATCGCCGGGCTGCATAACAGTAATAATACAGCTGTTGCATCTGAATTGGCCTTACGAGTTCTTTTTGCTTCGGGTTAAGCACAAAAACTATTCTTTTTCCATTGTTTCTTCCCACTCTATTAAATCATTCCGCTGGCAAATCTCAACGCAGCCCGTTAGAGGTTTTTTTTTTTTCTTTTTCTTTTTTTCCCCCTCCCCCTCCGGAGGTTTACCAAAACCGGCCCATCGCGGATTTGCGAGCCCTCGGGGCGCCCCACCACCACCACCACCACCGCCGCCCTTACCTGCAACGGGCTCGATCTCCGTCTGGTTCTTGCCGCCTCCTCTCTTGGGTTGCGGAGCCGAGCAGATGCCCTTCCCGCGCAACAGGGCTTGCAAAGGCGTGCGCTCGCCTGGCCGAGGGACGCAGCGCAGCCCGAGGGCGCAGCTGGGTGTATAGACGCCGCAGGATTCGCCTTCCTCCCGGACTCCGCAGGCTTTCTCGTCGTCGCAAGTCGCTTTACGGTCGCTCTCGGGGGAATCGCAGCCGGCCGGAGAAGAAGAAGAAGAAGGGCAAGCGGGCCCGATGTCGCCGTCGGGCTCCGACACAGCAGCAGCAGCAGCAGCAGCCGCGGCCGCCCCGCATCCCGTCGTCGGGGCCAGCAAAAGCAGGAGCGCCGTCCCCAGGCAGCGAGCGAGGAGCATCGTGCACCGATCCGGGCTGAGCGCTCGGAAACAGCGCGCTGCAGCCGAGCGCGTCTTAAATGCCGCGTCCTGCCCACGGCTCGCCGGCCTCCTTCCGCGCCAGGTGTAGCCAGCCCGGTTGGACGGCCGCCAGCCGGCAGGGTGTGGCTGCGGGCTGCCAAAAAAGCCGACCGGCCTTTCCCCTCGACAGCTCCTCGGAAAGTGAGCAACCCGATCAATTCCAGCGAGGAGATCCACTCCCCCGTGGAGTTCAAAAGCTGAAGTTTTCGGTGGAGGCGCTGCACCGGACGAAGAACTGCCTTCTTGTCGTGTAACGTCGTTCCTGGATTGTAAGACTTTGTTGAATTTCCCTCCCCCCCCCCGGGCGGATTTCGGGGTGATCCGTTGAAAGCAAGGCAGGGGTACCCTAAGGAACGCCGACGTAAAGAACAGAGACCCCTCGATTCGAAAAACTTGCCCGATCGTCCCGGAGTTGTGGCCTGTATGTATGGCGGTGCTGAGAAGTGATTGTGATGATGTCGTCTCCCCAAACGTGCTTTTTGAAACCGAGAGACCCCCCCTCCCCCTTACTCATTTTTCGGAACTCGTTGCATGGCCGGATCATGAACGCAGTTTGCAGCGCGGTGGGTTTTTATTCATAAGTAAATAAAGGTTAACGCTCCCCCTCCAAAAAAAAACTATTCCAGGCATGCAGAATTTTATATCAACTGTTCTCTTTGAATCGAAGAGTATTTTAAAAACTGCTATCCCATTTCAGTTTATCTTGCTGCACTGAAAAGATTATCCAGAGCCTCAAATCCTATATCCAGTGCTTCACCAGTTGGATTTCTTCATAACACAAAATTTAAACATTGGGGGGGGGGGAGAGGAGGGAGAAGCCTCATCCTGAGACCTATGTGCTTGTTTGTGGTTTTAGGCACAATTAGTGGGAATAAATTGCTGACAGCTGAGCTCCTCATTCCTTGCAACTGGAGGAACTCCTCCTTAAAAACCTCCTTCCTTCTTTACCTTTTATAGCAGCCTGACTTTCTCCTTGCAAGCAATGTGTTTCCTGCATTCAGGTGTTTGTGAAAAAGACAAGTGGAAAGCCAGGTTTACCAAAATGGCAACTGAATTCTGAGAAAGTGTGCAAAAGGTATCAAGACACCATCAATAGCACTTCTATAGCAAACAATGATAAATTCAGTGGGACCTGAGACAACCTACATAATTTAATATTGCCATTCCGTGGATCTTTTCACACAGATCCTAGGTTCATGATTCCTGGACATTGATGGCATCACTATTAATTAAAATCAATTCCACTCTTTACTGACCTGTTAATGTAGCTGTTTTTGGCAGAAATAGGGACATTCTTTGCCACTTCCATGATCTTTTTCTGATTTCCCAGTCTAGTCTAGTCTCCAGCCCTGGAATTTCCTGATAGTTTTCCACTCATGTATTAACCAGGTCTGACTTGCTTAATTTTACAAGATCAGCCAAGATCAGTTTAGTTGCTGCCTTCCAGACTTTCATTTTTTAGGCAAGTGACAAAATGCTAGTGCCAGGAAAATATTTGCATATCAATCCTAGAGAAATTGGGGGGATGGGGGGGTTGCTGCAGGCCAATGCTTTGTTTGGAAGTGTGCCCAGTTGCCCAAGAAATAAGGACAAAAGTAAGTTTGGGTGATAGCACCCTGCAAGGTTGAGGTGTGTAATTCCAGGGGTTTCCCCCACCTGCACCATCTTCATCTGGTAAACTGGATATCCTGTGATAGGCCATGCCCACCACTGCAATCACTTTGTGAACAGGCTTGCCATGAACACAATTTTGCAACTAGGGCGGCCTCATATTATTGAAGTTCCCTTTCTTCTCACTGGCTCAAAAGCAAGGTCTATCCATGTTCTAATCGGTATCGTTTGCTTCCTTCAAAAGTCGGGGGATGCAAACCAGGAGTCCCATCAGCTCTCTTCATTCCCGGGGTGGGGGTGGGGGGCTGCCAAGCAAGCATACAAGTCTTGTCACTTTTCAAAACCAACCCAAGTGATGATATGGTTATTATTATTATTATTATTATTTTAAAAAAAAAAACTATGGGCCAAGAAGGGAAATAGCTGGGCAATTGGATTACACAACGGAGTTTTAACCATTCCAAACATTCTGCCTGGATCGAAAATGAAGACTAGGAAGGGCGGGGAGGGGGGGGCAGAGGGAAATGAAGACAGCCCATCTCCGAGTCCCAAGGAACAGCGGGAGGAAAACAAACAGGCCTTGGCCAGGAAATTGTTGGCTGATTGTGCAGGTTTTTTTGTTTGTTTATAAAAGAAACAGTTCTGAAAATATTCCCAGGGAGTTAAGATTAACTCAGTGGAAAGGGAGGTAGAGAGCAGTTGTTAAACCAAGCTTGAACTACTTTACAGGGTTGTAGTGAGGATAGAATTACGGTAGGTTACCAGATCTGACTTGCAAGACCTCAGCCAACCATGAGGGGGCAGGTAAAATGAGATGACTCTTCCAATCCCCTCTTCTATATTTTTCAGCCTCCCAGGAGAAGGGCAAAGCAAGCTACTTTTAATTAGCTGCTGAGGAGGCCACACGTTGTCCAAAACCTGAATTTGTTTACACATGGTTTATTCAATAAAGTGCAACTGGCTAGTTTTATACAACACACTTAAGTTACAAACTAGAGCTTCCAAACCACATTGGCTGGGTTTGCACGCAACATATTATGCCAAAACAAACCACGATGGGGTTTATTATTTGGGCCTGGTGCTTGAAATGTTTGGCATAAGCAGATGTGTTATACAAACCAATTTGATAACTAGGCTGACTTCTTTGGTGGCACAGGGAGTTTTGTGAACGAAAACAATATACTTAAATTGGGGCTGTGTGTAGTTGCACATTACAGATTAAACATAGGGTTAGCTCAGTCAACTAATTTACTTTACATATTAGTTTCTGTATAACAGGAGGGAAACTGGGGGGGGGGAGGTAAATGTTACCTCTGGCATCCCATTTACTACCCTGGAGCTGCATTAAAGTAGGGGGGGCTACTTTACTCCAATCCCTTGGGATTTCTGAGAATTTTTTTAAGAGGTTAAGGGATGGGAAGGGAAAAGGTGCCATTAAGTTTGCAGAGGCTTACAAGTCTCACTGTGTTCCTTAAAAATTCCAAACATTGGGAAAACTGATTTCCCAGATATTTTTCCAAGCTAAGAGTAAAAAATAAGTACAGATAGTCCTCGATTTATGACCACAATTGAGCCCAAAATATATGTTGCTAGGTGAGAAATTTGTTAAGTGAGTTTTGTCCCATTTTACGACATTTTTTGCCACGTTTGTTAAGTGAGTCTGGCTTCCCCATTGACTTGGCTTATCGGAAGGCCCACAAAGGAGATTCACATGATCCCAGGACACTACAACCGTCATAAATGTGAGTCAGTTGCCAAGCGTGTGAATGTTAATCATATGACCATGGAGACCCTGCAACGGTTGTAAGTGTGGAAAATGGTCATAACTCACTTTTTTCAGTAACTTTGAACATCACTAAATGAACTGTTGTTAAGACGAGGACCACCTGTACTCAGACTTGGGACTGGAACTTTGGTAGCTAAATGAGGGAGTTGTTAAGAGAGACAACACCCAATTTGACAACTTTTTTGCTGTGGCTGTTAAATGAATCACCATTGTTAAGCAAATCCAGTTTCCACTATAGACGTTGCTTGTTGGAAACCAGTTGGGAAGATTATAAATGGCAATTGCATGACCCAGGGTACTGCACCCATCATAAATAGATGCCAATTGCCAAATGCCCAAATTTTGATTACATGACCGCTGGATATTGGGACAGTCATAAGCAGAAGGACTAGTCTCATCATGTTTTTCAGCACTGTTGGAAACAGCGGTTTTCAGCACTTCGAATAAACTGTCATAAATTTAGCACTACCTGTATCAACCATCTGCAAGGCCTTTCCTCCACCAGGAAAAAGAGCCAAAACGCCCAGTCTCATCACATCCTCTAAAACGGGTCTCCAACCTGCTGGCTGAAGGATTCTGGGAGTTGAAGTCCACAAGTCCTAAAGTTGCCAAGGTTGGAGATCCCTGCTCTAAAACTCCTAGCCAAGATCTGAAAGTAAAATGCAGGTAAATGCCCAGGCTGGAGGTTACCTGCCTCTTCTGTACAAAAATTTAGGACAAAGCCATGCAGCTCAATGTCCTCTTCCACATCTTGACATGAGGTTAACAGCTTTACCTGGGCACATCAACTGTTTAAGCCACATTAAATCTGTTTTTCCTAAATTCACTATGTTACAACAGTAAAGGAAAATAAGAGAAAGGTGCCCTTGAGCATGTGCAAAACATGTTCAGCACTCAGAAAGTTGGCCAACTGCCCAGCCCTTTATCTGTAGAACCCCCCCCCCATGAGATAAAACTCTACAAAATGAAGAGAAGTCTTCTTTTTTTTCTCTATCCTGTATCTGTAGCTCAGGAAATTGGGATTTTCCAAAGGTTGGCAATAGCAATAGCACTTAGACTTATATATTGCTTCATAGTGCTTTAAAAGCCTCTCTAAGCGGTTTACAATGTCAGCCTATTGCCCCTAACAATCTGGCTCCTCATTTTACCGACCTCAGAAAGGATGGAAGGCTGGGCCAACCCTGATAATCAGTGAATTTGAACTTTAGACAGATGGGATGCATCAGGGAACAGATAAGCTCCAACATGGGCACGTAAATTCACTAGAAAGGAATATCCATTGGGTTGTTCCTGAGCCATTGGCAAAGATTTCTGGCTTCCCAGAAATCACGGGATGAAGCTGACTGAAGTCACACTGCCACGGATCAAGACACAGATCCTGCAGCTGGCTCAGAAATGACTAGCCTGTTTCTGGACTGGGTCATAGAACATACTGAATGTGCCTTGCTTGATTTATGACTGGCATGTCTTTTGAACCCAGCTTTTGAGGGATTCCGAATTAACTTCTGTCTCGAAGTGCCATATTCAATTAGCTGCTCCAGTGTTTTTACAATGTTGGCAATGTTATGGAGTGTGGACTTTTCATTCCCATGCTGGCTGGGGCAGCCTGGAAGATGAAGTCCATACATCTTAAACTTGCCAAGATTGAAAAATACCAAAGTGTTGGTTCTGTAGAGACAGTTTTGCTAGCTGGCTCTAGCCTTGTGGTCCCGCAAAAGGGAGCAAACTCTGGCTCTCCAAGGGATGCCTCTTGCGTAACATTTAACAACATGTTCTTGAATGAATTGGGCCACCTTGGTTAGGACTTACAAGACTTTATAGCCATCATTAGATCACCACAAGCTGGGCCACAAGTAATACTAGACCATAATGTGACTAGTTTGCTTTTGGCCTAGCAGGCTGTGGAAACTCAGCCAATTCCGGCTTGTGCAATAAACCATATTGACTTAATGGCATGCATGAATCAAGGTACAATTTGTTTGTTCTGTTCTTCCCCTCCCCATTACTCTTCTCTCTCGGGGTACACAGTATAATCTAAACTACTCTGTGCTTCAGATGAAGTGCTGTAGTCCCCAAGAGCTTTATTTGTTGATTTCATATCCTGCTTTTCTGCGGGATACTCCAGGTGATCTCTTTTTTTCCACCCCCAGCTGTCATGTGGACTCCCATGAGCAAGGGTGGACTTTTTATCTGTACCTTGACTCTTACACCACATCATCTACGTTCACACATTGTCCTGAAACTACAGCTTACTGAATCATTCAATCACTGAATCGCTGGCTGGATTTTGCACAATGCAGAGTCAGAAACCCGGCGATCAACCTTTAGCCTAGCTAGTATGTGCAAAGGCTCGTCTTTAAGGTACTACAGGGAATCTACCCCTGTAGCCTT